TATATATATATATATATATATATATATATATATATATATATATATATATATATATATATATACTGCCTTAATTTTCACAGATTTTATAATGTTTTCATTAAATGTGTAATTCCGTTGGATATAATTAAATTTTTAAGTTCAATTACACAATAAAGACACATTATTATATATTACACATTATTATTATAAGTTTAAAAAAAACAAGTAATAAAATAATAAGTAAAACTGATATAATGATATCAATAAAAGGCAATAAAACCCATTACTGTCATTAGATATCCGTTCCTAAAGCAGAACAAGCTTTAAAAAATTGTGTGTTTTATTTATCGTAACATCTGTAAAATCTAAAACATTTCCAGAAAATATTAACAGCTGAACCCCTACGATTATGGCATCTTCAGCCTTGCAGTATTTCCTCAGCAGAGGATGGCAAATCTAGATGTACTCACAGTTCAGTCTAATCCCACTGGACGGGAGCCCACTGTTGTTCTGTAGACTTACTCCAGCTCTCCTGGTTCTTCTCCTGGAAGAACCAGTTAGTTTATAGAACAACACTGATGGAGACAAGGATGAAAACAGGAAGCTGGGAAACATCACAGGTGATGGATCAGATTCTAAGACACAGGATATTCCCCATCCAGTTCCTATTTATTGAGTTATAAATTTACATCTTACTTGTGTTTCGAGTTGTATTTCAGTTTGAATTATATTTGCAACTTAAACGCTGTGAATAGGAGCTCTTGAAGTATTCAGCTTCTCAAGCAGGAAATGTTCATCCTGTTATCATGCCTAAAATCATAACTTAGAACAAAACCAGACTTATTCTGTAAGTATTTTTTCTGTTCTTCTCTCTACCAGCAAACAAAAGAATAAAGTTAACATATCTGTGCATTAAACTGTATTTTATTAACAGTGTTATTAAGAAGTATCTTTAATAATTCAAGGCAAAAAAAACTTCACAGAATTTAAACTTTTTTACTTTTTTATTGTCATTACACTGTCACAAGTGTTAATAATAATTATATATTTATATATATTATTAAAGGAATACAGGAAACGGAAAGCGAAAACAAGGAATCTCTGTAATCAAGAAATGTTATTTATTTATCTGCAAAGCACAAAAGTAATAAACATCATTTAGTGGGAGAAGCTATTGTTGTACACGCCAATGTACAGTAGGTGGTAGTATTTATCTATGAGCTGCTTGCAACACGCCATAATAAAAAAGACGAGGAAGAAACCCTCAGCCAATCACAAAGCTCGTAGAGAAGTTTGGCCAATCACGCTCAAGCTTAACGGGAATCACTTCCTCTATTGGTAGCGCACGAATACTCCTCGCTGCTTTTTTTATTTCCTTTCAAAAATAATAACTTGAAGTTAACACTGGTGTTTAATAAAGCTTCTTTCCTGATATTTCAATTTTAGTTTTTTTGTTAACACCTATCAGATGATGACGAAGGACAGGTCAGGGAAACAAAATTATCCCAAAGGAAAGAAATCACAGACCGATAAAGCTGAAGAACCCATGACAACTAAAACGAAGAAAAGGAAACACGTGGAAGTGGAGGTGGGTTTTAAACCTTTACACTTTTTCATCGTTGGGGTTTTACGTCATGGACTAAAACAACGTGTTGCGATATAATGATATGGAATCCAATTATTCAAGGTTTCCTAGATAAAAATCAATGTGCTTACGCGTTTGTATTTTAGTCCCCTTTATTATGATCCTTAAACATAAAATAAAAATGTACCAATTACCTCCAACAGTCACACAATTAGCATATATACAATATATACTTGTATAAAACCTAAAGAGGTTAGGGTGTCCCAACTGTGGCCCTTGAATTTTTTTATGTGTGGCCCCAATCAGCAGGTCAGGATTGGTACAACAATCTAAATGAACTGAGAAATAACAAATAGACAATAAAATTTGTAATGATAGATTCAGATCCTCTTGAATATGAATTGTTCCGTACAAACATGTTTAGTAGTGAGTACCTGTATTATTCTTTTTTTTTCTTCTTGCTTTCACTGTCTTAGTAGGTCAGGTTACAAACCTTCAGCAATCCTTTACTTGGAAACAGACTTTCAGACACCCACTCATTAAGGATTGTTAAATAAGGGCCAGAGTTTATTGATACAAGCCTTTTTTGTTTCTGGAAAAGATTGAAGGGAAAATAATAGACCAATAATAAAGAGAAAAATAAAAATGACCTTAAAATTGGAGTGGGGTGGGGGTGTTAAAGAGAGAGAGTAATTCCCTATAAAATAATTTAAAATATTTTTTTTTATTGTAAAACTAATATCATAATGATCACTTTGAAATGGTCAATTCTTAATCAGAGTAAATATGTCACCCCCCAACCTAATCTGACCTCCCAGACATGGACAGAATCAACCCTCATGGTAACTGAAGAGATTGCAGATAATATGCACTGCTCAGATTGAAGAGACAGTTGACAGGCTAACCATTAGCCGTACATGCCATAAATATGGCTTTTATGGAAAAGCAGATTGAAGAAATCAATGTTTCGTGGTAAAATTATAGCTACAGAGAAGATTATATACCAGCTAGTAAGGTCAAAGTTAAGCTTTTTGTTGTAAATGTTAAATTTTATGTAGGGAAGAGCTAACCCAGCATAAAACAGATCCCTATTGTAAGGCACAGTGTTGGTAGGATCATGCTTTTCGAGTAATTTTAAAAGAAGGTGTGAGGGTTGGGGGACTAGTGGTTAGGGCATAGAGCTTGGAATCCTGAGTTTATGAGTTTGAAACCCACTCCCACAGACTGCCATTCTGGGTCCCTGAGCAAGACCCTTAACCCCACACTGCTCCCAGGGTGCAGCCCGCTGCTCCCCAAAGGGATGGGTTAAAAGCAGGGAGTTAATTTCATTGCTCTGTACTTGTGACGGTGTAATGACGGTAAAATGCTGAGTGGAAAAAATATATGTATTCTGTGTCCAACTGGTGTCTGTCTGTCATGTTAAAATCCTTCAAGACACATTAGAAGTTACTATTGTTTTAAAATGAAAAAATAAAGACAGACATAAATACCTTTTAAATATTTATTTTCAAAATAATATCTTTTTTTTTTCTTCAGGAAGCTGCAGTACAGATTCCCCGAGTTACAGACCCAGATGAGGAAACAAACAAAAAGCAAAAGAAGCGTAAAAAGACCAAGGTGACAAAAGACACCGACTCAGAGCTTACTGAGGTGAGAAGACAAAATACTGAAACTGTCCAGTTTATTATGCTTCCCTGATGCCCGTTTGTAATCACTGCTTTCATGATGCGCAGAAAACAGTTGGATACAATCACTGTTTCTATGAAATGTTGCTCTGATGTTGATCTGAAAACCCTTAAGTTTCATATTATTAATAAATAATTCTTCGTCAAGCTCCCTTTGTGTCACATTGTCCGTTAAAGTTTCATTAATCTCATGGCGTGACTTTAGCCTATGATCCGTGTCAGGACGGTCTGTGTCGGCTTTCAGAGGTGGAACTAGAGGAGTCGCTCGATGTGTCCCATGTTGTAGGGGGACGGTTTGGTGAAACTGTTGCGTACATGGCTCTTTCTGAAACAGACCTGGAAAGCTTGGGGCTTCTGCTTTTCTCCTGAAGGAACAGCCTCAGCTTTCTCCGGAAAGTCTCTCCCAGAAAGCCGTAGATGAGCGGATTCAGACAGCTGTTGGAAAAGGCTGCGAGCCGGACGGCGTGGCCCGTCAGAGGGTAAAGCTCCCACAGCGTGCTGCTGCTGTCTGTGTCGCCCCTCAGGAGGTGAATGCTTATGAAAACATTCACCGGGAGCCAGCAGATGAAGAAGACCAACACGGCGGCAGAGATCATACGCAGAGCTCTCTGCCTGCGAGGCCTCTGCTGCTGGTTGCATTGCTCTCTCTGGCTGCGCCGCAGCACCTGCCCTATCCTCCAGTAACACACGCCCAGGATGCAGAAAGGTAGCAGGAAGCCCAGCGTCACCTCCAGCCACTGAATCTGGCTCACGTTAGCAAAGCAGAAGTGAAGCTCACCCGAATGCTGCACTTGAGCTACAGCGAAAGGCAGCAGGGTGAGCACTGAGGAAAACACCCAGATGAAGCAGCAGCTGAGGCGGGCGTGTCCCATGCTTGTTCCGTTGACACAGGTTAGCGCAATGAAGCGGTCGATGCTCATCCAGGTCAAGAAGAAGACGCTGCTGTAGAGGTTGACCTGCTGGAAAAGATTCATGAAGGTACAGAGGCCGGTGTTGTCGTAGTAACCCTTCTTCAGATTAAATACCTCAATCAAAGAGTCGGCCACCAGAATGAGGTCCGCCGCTGCCAGGTTCACAAAGTACAGGTCCGGGGCCGTCAGACGGCCTTTATGGTGCAGGTTGACCACAAGGATCAGGATGTTCCCAACGAGGCCGATAGGAAACAGGATTATGGTGTAAAATCCAGATATTAATATGTTTATAAGATAATGCTCCGCGTTCTCGGAGGAGGTCTGCAGAACGCCGGTGGTCAACTGGGTGTTGTTGGACTGCAAGGTCAGGTTTTCTCCAGCTGTGATTCTGTGCTCCATGAACATGCTCGTGGCCTTCTCACACTTTTCTATCCCGCCTCATAACCTTCCTGCTAACTATGCATATCTTTGAGCTTGATGATTGTCGAGGTCCGAGTTGTGGTCAGGCTTCCCGTCCGAACAGATGATGGTGCTGAAGTCAGCTCTGGATCAGAAGAGAAGGAATTTGAACCTCAGTTTTAAGGAAAAGAATCACATTGCAACACAAACTACAATATGTTCACTGATGGATCTTATATAATAGACCAAAAACAAACCGGCTCATAGCTGAGACGTAAAAAAACATTGATTTGGTTTCAAGGTTTGTTTTTTGATATATTATTTATTAATATTGATTGTTAAATTTGATTTCTTCCCCTTTAAATACAATAAAATAAATACTTTCAACCAATTCCTTTTAGAAGTCTGATTAATCATAAAAAGCTTACAGCTTAATCCAGTTGTTCTGTGAGGATCTCAGGGGCTTGTCGGAGACAAGATGATTGAGTCGTGCAGGAGACACAGAAGTGTATTGAACAGGGTTCTCAAGAGGAGGAGCAATTTAGCTATTAATAAAACCATATGTATGACAGAGCACAACCATGGCACATTAACACTGAAAAGTAAATTTCCATTATACCCCTGAGAGGGGGCTCGCCATCGTATTTAAGCTTAGCGGGTTGTTCCGCTCAAGATGTTGCCGTTAAGCTAAAAATCAGGCTAATTTTTTTTATCAGTATATTGGCCCTTTGACTGATTGGGCTTCTTCCCCAACGCATTTCAGCAGAGACGCTGGATCTTTTAGGGTTACAGTGAAATCATGAAGATACACATTTTCCTCCTTACTCACACATATATTGTGAACCCTGCACCACGTCGACTTGAGTCCTAAAGACAGGTGAACAGCCCACAACGACAGAGAGCAAGCTTAAAAAAAACATAAAATAGTTCCTTCCTGCTACGCTCATAGAAAAATTTCCTGGTGAGAAAACTGCCCTGACATGGTGGGGGGAGCATAATGCTGTGGGATTGTTTTCAGGATGATTGATGGAGCTAAATCCAGGACGATCCTGAGAAAAAAAACCTGTAGGAGGCAGCAGATCGGCGAAGGTTCGCCCTCAGCAGGAGAACCACATCAACAACCAGCTGGACATGCAATGTATGGTTTTAATTGGGGCAGATTTAGGGGCTAGAACGGCCTACTTAACGTTTAGACATGCATCTAATCAAGGATCTGTAATGAGATTTGAGTGCTGATTTTTGGCGAAGGCTCTTAATCCAGTCTAACTCGCCTGCAAATTTTTTTGTTTTTTTTTTGCAGGAAAATAAGAATAAATTATATTCTTTAGTTGTTAGCTGGAAGCGAGACGCAACCAGAAAACTAACACAGGGACAGTTTAGTTCAAGTGAATATGTGTCACCTTCTTTCTACTTCACAATTAAACTCTACTTTCTCTTGATCTAAATACAGAGAGGTTTGTTTTTGGGATGAGACCTAACATGAGAAATACTTCCTTCAGACATGATATGAGTTAGAATCCTTCAGGAATAGAATCAGATTTAAACGATGAGGTTTATTTTCTAAGCTCTCATGAATATGAGGATTCATCAGCGTACAGGATGAATGGTTAAACCCATAGCACCTGACCTGAGTCCAGCTTCTGATCCTCTTTGCAGTTCATTCCTGTTTTCTTCATTGGTTTTAATGTTGTTGATCAGTCTGTTTTGCCAGATTTTTCTAAATTTTTACTGTAAAATTTCCTCAGAAAGTTGATAGCGATTAAGAATTAGTCAAAACCTACCTTCAAGTCTGTTCTGGAGAGTATCTCTGTGTCGTCCGAGAAAATACTGAGAAACGGCGTCGTTCCACCCATCAACACGCTATGCAGGCGCAACATCGGTCACATGATTTCACACGATATGAAACTTGAGCGTCTTTCCAGGTCGGTGTTTACTAACTGCACCATGACTGGCTGGCTTTAAGAGGGCGGGGGGTCGGTTAGTAATGAGCCAAACCTCCTGCTGAACCTTTATGCAATCGGACCATTTAACAACTTTACGGGTCAGACTCTGAGGTGAAACTTCCTTTTAAATGTTGTAGGAGGTCAGAAAGCGTAAATATGGGAGTTTGGCTTTTTAGCAAAGACCATCTGGTGAGATGTTTACAGAAAACTGGATAAAGGGCACATGAGGATACTCACCTCATTTTTCCTTAGATACTGTTCTCTCTGCTTTTAAATTGGTTTGATGCTACATTTTAGCTGGAATTCATCATGATTGACCTTTTCTTTGTTATGCTCATTGCAGATGAAGGCCTGAGCTTCTTTTAGGACATAAATGAGACGAAGACATCATTGTTTAACGAGCCACCAGTATCTTGTATAACCAATCTTTATATCAGTCTCCAGTTGATGCCATTCTCTGGCTTCACAGAGAGTACGTCATCCAAGGTTGGCAGTAGTTTCTAGAACAGGTGCAAAAGAGCTGGAAACTTAGCGGCATGATGGCTGAAACTGTGCTCCTTGATTTAAAGTGACTCAATGTTTCCAAGGTTGCAGAGAGCTGCAGAGATTTTTCCTGGCTTTTCTCTTAAAGAGTCCTTTGTGGAAAACTGTTCAGGGCAAACCGAGCCAGTGGTTGGTTCTGTTGTCCACCTGAATGCCTGAGTCCATATCACACCTCTCCTCTCTGCAACCTCCTCCTATCCATTAGTCCCATCCGGCCTTAAAGGAATAGTACACCCAAAACATGATTAGCCTTCATTTTCTACTGACCCCCATGCTGAACAACACTCTGGAGTACTTTTTTGATATCTCAAATGCATCTGGAGATCTGGGAGGCTTCTTGCTGTCTGCTGACATTCAAATAATGGAGGTCTATGGTGCCCGAGACAGAAAGGTCCATAAAAGTCCACAAAAAACGTGTCAATATTCCTCCATACTGCTCGTCCAATGTATTCCAAGTGTCCTGAGTGGGTAGCATCCAGAATTTACTCGAAACGAAGTCATTTAGAATGTTTTTAGAGCATAAACAGTAGTGTATAGGATTTCCTGAAAGCGCGCGCCAGCGCGTTCAGGACGCTACGAAAGCCGGCAGACCAAACCAGATGAAAGTGCGCATTCAGCGTCTGCTCTGCCGATAATGCAAGCGTAGAAGAAGAAATGTGCTGTTTACCTGTGCAAAGAAAGAAACAACGAAAGAAAAATGTCTGAGGACTTCAGTGTTGAGGAAGAGCATGAGTTCTTTGCCGAGCTGAATGCGCTGGTTTGGTCTGCCGGCTTCCGTAGCGTTGTGAACGCGCTTTTAGGAAATACTATACACTACTGTTTATGCTCTAAAAACATTCTAAATGACTTCGTTTCGAGTAAATTCTGGATGCTACCCACTCAGGACACTTGGAATACATTGGACGAGCAGTATGGAGGAATATTGACACGTTTTTTGTGGACTTTTATGGACCTTTCTGTCTCAGTCACCATAGACCTCCATTATTTGAATGTCAGCAGACAGCAAGAAGCCTCCCAGATCTTCAGATGCATTTCAGATATCAAAAAAGTACTCCAGAGTGTTGTTCAGCATGGGGGTGAGTAGAAAATGAAGGCTAATCATGTTTTGGGTGTACTATTCCTTTAAGTTATCACAGAACAGCAGTTCTTATATCTGTAATTTTGTTTGCATTTTGCAAAAGTTAAACTCCAGAATTAAGTCGGGGTTTCCGCGGGTCATTAAAAGTCATTAAATTATTATTTTTTAAATTAAGGCCTTAATTGGCATTAAAATTCATTAAATTTGATAATCGTGGCATTAAAATGGCTTCGGAAAAGAAGCTTGAGTCGGAGAAAAGGTTAGAGAATGGGGAAAATGCAAATTTGAACCAAAGTGGCGGGAAAACGAGGAACTTGGGACATGGCTGCAGCTTGTCCATGGTGAAGACGACGAAGGATTTTGCAGTGTGTATACATATATATAAATTTTTATTATTGGGTACTTGTTGATGGCATTAAGATTATTTCTACCAGCATTAAAAGAGCATTAAAAAGCATTAAATAAGAGTTATTCATTTATGTATAAACCCTGTTAGTGCTTTTATGTGATAAACTGGTTGCATCGAGAAGCCCAAAGAACCCAGCGGGTCAAGGGAGAAAAGTGTTAAAAGTTTAAAGCTGGGTTTGGTTGTAAATTAATGCTCCAATTTTTAATCATCCCCCTGATCTCTGTTTAATCCATCACCCGACCCTGGAGAAAAGCTGCAGACCTACCCAGACATTAAATTCTACCTGAACCAACAGGTCTAACAGGAAACCTGTGGAAGACGTGTTCCATCATTCTGAACACACTGTTTCCGCTGTTAGCCATGGTGCTCCAGCATCAGCGTGTGGTACGGTAGCTGCTCTGCTGCAGACAGGAAAGCTCTGCAGAGAGTAGTGAAGGCTGCACAGAGGACTGTTGGAGTCAACCTCCCCACCACCACAGACATCTACACCTCCAGATGCAGGAAAAGGGCCTCCTGCATCATGAAGGACCCCACTCACCCAGCACACTCACTTTTTGTCCCGCTACCCTCAGGCAGGAGGCTGCGGAGCATCAAATGCAGGACAACCAGACTGAGAAACAGCTTCATACCAGAAGCTGTGAGACTCTCAAACTCCTCTCAGTCTCTCTCACTGCACTGTCCCTAACAACAATAACTTGGTCACTTCAACCCCTAACCCCCCCATGACACTGTATTTGCAGTTTACACTTGGACACTTTAAAATGTTGCACTGCTAAATTTATCTTCCCATGCTGCTACATTACTCATACTTCATCCATCCTGTACATTCCTATTAATATACATTTTATTGTTCTACTTCTCGTTTTTATATACCTGTAAATATTTTTTTTAATTTATATAATTTGATCTTGTAGCTAGCGCAATTTGATCTTGTAGCTAGTTTTTATATTTTATTTTTTATAATCGGATGTAACTGGGGCCGTGACTCTCAATTTCGTTCTACCTCATGTAACACGTGATGTGAATGACAATAAAGTCTCTTGAATCTTGAATCTTGGTGGTGGGAGCATCATGCTATGGGGGTGACTTCTCTTCTACAGCAACACTTGTTGCTCTTAGGTTTTCTAATTTGTATCAATTTTCAATAGGAAAGAACTTTACCAGAGCAACAAATTCTTCAAATTTACATTTATTTATTTCATAAACTTAAAAGTGGCTTAAAAAATACTTTGAATACAGCTTTTTGAACTTCCCATGACTGGTAACAAAAATGCATATTTACAAACATTTACATGTTAGAGGGGATTCTGCACAGGGTGTTTGATCTTTTGGGTCTCGTTTCGGACTGCTTGGACCGGTTAGTGAAATCTACCAATAGTTTGGAAAAATTACCTTCACTCTTTCGCCGGAGCAGAGAGTCCAACTGTTCAACCAGCTTGTTCTGTAGAACAGAGCAGTAAAAGGCCTTTTTTATTACTTTCTATCCAAGCAAAAACGGCTCATTTATGAAATATGTGTGCGTTTTTTTTAAAGTTTTTTTTATTTATTTTATTGTTGGGTTGTTTGTTTTCCTCTGCTTACATCCCTTTAGAACAAGACATTGAATGACTCTGAATGTTGTAAAAATCTAAGCTGCACTGAGAGCAATGGTTGCTTTTCTTTCTTAAAATAACTTAATGGTAAAAAGAAGGAAGGAGGTTTTTTTTGCTCTAAAAGCCTCCTATTGGGCCGGTTCTGCCATGTGAACCGTCTATGTCTCGATGTCCTGCAGAGTGTCTGTGATCTCGATTTGCGGAGCGATGATGTTTCTGTTGGGCTGCGGATGTCCCGGTCTCCGACAGCAGTCCCTCAGCTGCCTCATCACGCCGTGGAGACTCTCTCGACTCGGCCGGTGCAGCAGGAGAACAAAAATCAGGCTGAGGCTGCTGCCAGAGAACAACACGCATTCGGCCATAGCCAGAAAGTCTCGTTTCTTCTCCCCATCCTTGTTGGGTTGAGCCACTCTCACCAGAATGATGCTGTAGAACAATTGGCAGAGAAAAATTAACACTGCAACGGTCAGAAACACAGGGCCTTCCTCAGAGCCGGACAGAAAACGTCCTTTAGATTTCCACTGCCGGACACAGCCGCTTATCAGCAGTCCGAATTGGACGGTGAAGGGAACCAGAAAAGCCAAACAGAGCTTTGCAGCTGCATATGAAACACCGGCGTCCTCATCTTCCTGTAGGCGTCGAAGTAATGCCAGCAGGACGGAGGTTATAAAAGATGTCAGGATCACCAGCGCCGCACAGACCCTTGGCTTCCTCAGCAGGGCATTTGACGGCGGATCTAGCGTCAGGACGAACGCCATGAGCACTAAGATAAGCAATCCGCACAAAGAGGCCACATTGATGGAGAAGGAAAGGGCGGCGGAGCCCCAGGTTGTCCACCTTATGTATTTAAGTCTGTGCATCACAGTAGGGAGAGACAGTAGTAGGAGCAGCAGCTGGAAACCACAGAAAACCCAGAGGAGGCAGTCGAGCCAGGCCAGCCGTCTCTGAGCCCTGTAGGTCTGAATGAAGCTGTAGAAGACGAAGCAGCCGGCGCCAAAGCCCAAAACTGCAAAGACACTGTAGGTGCACGTATATACTATGGGGTCCACAGAGGTTGAGGTTGTTGAAGCTCCAGGGGTGAAATTGGAGAGGGATTGAAAGGTGGTGCTGGGCTGATAGGCGTCTGTGGTCAAATCAGACTGGAAAATAAAGTCAGAATTTATCATTAGAGTCCAACAGGTAAACTGTAAACATAGGTGTGCAGCTCCGGGCCTCCAGGGCCGCACCACGCTACTTTTAGATGCATCTATTTTCCAAATTAGCTTATGCAAACAGTAGACTACCTTCTTAGGATCTCATAGAGTTCTACATAGAGATCTCGTAAAGTTTTACAGAAGCTTGTTATGAATTATCACCTGATTCGGGTGATTTGAAACAGGAAAACACCCTAAAAGCAGGATAGCAGGACTTAGTTTGGACTCCACTGTTAGAGAAACATGCTAGAGGATTTCCTCAGTCACACATTCAGCTCTGATTCTGAATGGATGTAGCTCCGACTCCTTTACTTATAGGAACTATGTAATTGGCAGCAGGTTGCCACTCACCATGTTTGCGTTCCACATCCCGTCGTCCATCAGCTTAAAAACAGTGTTTAACCCACAGCTCTGAAAGTGATGCTCGCTGCAGCTTCTCGTCGGCGGTTTTCAGACTTCTGTGGGCAGCACCCCTCTAGCATACTTTCAGAATGACTTTGTGACCATGTGATCAAAATCTTTCTCCTCCCTTCTTTTTTTTTTCAGCATCTGTAAAATCAGAGAGCATACTGCCTCTTTGTTCAACTTCCCCACAGAGAATTAGAGCAGTTCTTTGCTTTCAGTAAATCCTCTCCACAGAAGCAGGCTTCCTGACAGAAACCAGGAGAATCTGATCCAAAAATGAGCCGTTGGGTTTTATGTGCAAAAAGTTTTGTTTAGCAGGTGGATATTTTTAGCAGACCAGGGTGAGATTTAAGATGCTGTGCTGAAGGTTGTGGAGCAGCAGGCAGGAAACGGCCCACTGAGCTGCAGCACGACAGGAAGTGATTCAGACCTAGAAGGGTTTGTTTGCCCTTCTCCTCTGGAACAACAAAATGTCACTTTTTTGGGGGGTTTTGGGGGATTATTTATCTGCCATTAATGAAGAAAATCTGGAAATTTTCTAAGTTTAAGCTTGTGCCTGTTCCAGAAAAATGCTAAGCTGTCAGCCTGAATAGTCCATCTGTGGTTAAATGGCTAAATGTGTCTCTTCCGTTTTTAGTGTGTAGTACATTTACTACTAGAAAGCAAGAACATAGGGTAGAGAATATAAAAAAAACTGCTAATGTTTTTTTTAATGCTCTGGTTTAGATTACCTGATCACAGCAGGCTGTCCCAACAAATATTAAATTGCCTCAGATTATTCCTAATCAAAGCATTGAGATTTTGGAAGGGACGCCCAATGGATTACATTTCTGCCCGGTTTTTAAAACGTTTACATTTCTCATCTTAAATTAATTCTTAAAGCATTTTCCTGGAGTTATTTCTAGATCCTTTGGTTCCATTAAGGAATGTTGGTTCGGTTATATTAAATTTCAATTCACTTTATTGTGTGCCCTCTCACACCTTGACGATTTAGCCAGCGTTTGACTGACGTCCCAGAATCTTCTAAAATGCTGGCATATGCTGAACTTTCTATGTACTTTTTTGGGAGTATACATAGCGTATTCATAACGAGTCCAGAACTAATTTATGCTTAATGCACGGCAGCTTAATGCCCATGAAATGGATGCTGGTGCATCATTTCATGGGCATTATGAAGCATCAGTTAAAGCTGCTCCCCTCAGGAGCAGCGATGCACCTGGTCTGCATAAAAAGATATCTTTGATCACAGTATTCACCTGGCTGCTTATTACCACCCACCAAAAAAAAAAGAATAAAAAGAAAGAAGGTTTGCAGTTGCAGCCGATTCAGCGTCCTATCTGCTATGAAGGTCATGGTTGTTGGTTGTTGGGCATGGGCGTGTAAGCAGGGAGGATCAATCACACTTCCCTTCATAGTCATCCTATGATGGTGATGAAGTCTGGATAAGTACTGACAGTTTCTTTCTGTGAACCCGCTTTTATACCAAAATGCTGCCAATACGCCATTATACAGTAGCTGAAAGTTAAAAAAATGTTCAGCAGTCGTTTGGAACACGTCAAATACATTGATATGTGTTGGAGATAAGTTCTTGATAAGTTACTCATAAGTCATGCATAAGTTACTCATTAGGGGTGGAGCGGTTCACAAAATCCACGGTTCGGTTCACGGTTTCGTGGTCACAGTTTTCGGTTCAGTATATGTTGGTTGTTAGCCTGACATGTTGGTCGTGTTGCTGTTAGCATAAACAAAACGTGTTGCACAATGCTTGCACACTGTTGCACTTTTATCCACAACTTACTTTCCGCTGTCATCGTAGGTCACTCTAAATGCAAAACGGTTCCATACAGCAGACCTCTAAAGTGCTGCTGGCGCGTCTTCCAACTCCTGTTCTTTCCCACTCGCCATACCCACACAATTCTCCACAACAACTGATTTTTTTCTGCTACACCCGGCTACGCTGCTTCGCTTCTTCTTCTTCTTGTTTACTACTGGTGGTTGGCTTTGGTCGCAGTACCGCCACCTTCTGCTCTGGAGTGTACACGCTTCGCGTATGAGAAAAAGGAGCTGCGCATGAACCGAACGCAACACACGCGAACCGAACCGAGACAGTCGAACCGAACGGTTCTGACGGTTTTCATAAATCGTCCCATCCCTATTACTCATAGGTTTTGGATAATCTAGACACCAAGACTTATGAATAACTTACACTTAACGCATATCAACGATCAGATAACTTACCCATGACTTATGCCCCACGTATGGCATAGACTGGCATATGTCAGGACGTACTCGCCATATGTCAGTGTACTGCAGCGTGCTCATAACTTATACAAAACTTACCCATAACTTATCCAACGTGTGCCAGCTTTTTTGCTAGATTCTCCTACGTCAAGTATACACTGGACTAAAATTGTCAAGGTGTGACAGGGGCTTTATATAGCCCCAATTTACAACACTTTATCACAAGGCACTTGTGCAGTCAGATTGGTTCAAAGTCGGATTGGTTCAAAGTTTTCTAAGGAAAACCAGCTGATTGCATCGACTCATTGACTTGAAAGCAATCCCTCACACCAAGCATGCTTGTAGCAATGGTGGAGAGGAAAACTCCCTTTTAACAGGAAGAACTCCAGCAGAACCAGGCTCGTTGTAAGCGGCCATCTGCTGAGGCCGACTGAGGTTCAGCGATAGAAGTAGATGTAGAGAAAGAAGCAGAGATACAAAAGGCAACTGTCAGTCAACTCGCGGCAATTAGTGGAAATTATGCAAACATCTAGAGGACAAACGGTTGATGTGTGGAGCTTCCTAAGCCTGGACTTAGAGGTTAAACTTGAAGCACTTTTCATAAATCATGACACAATAATGATTGATTCTAGAGACTGGAGAGATGTCCATCTTTTCCTAGACCCAATATTTGTTTTGTATTGCTTATCTCTAATAACAAGCTGTACACATGTTTAACCCATGCTTTAACTTATTATGTTTTTAAGTTTAATATGTTTATGATTTTTTTCATGAACCAAAATGCATCTGTCTGTGTTTTCATGACCAGAAATGTTTTCAAAGAGCTGTATTTGTGTTTTCTGAGACATCTTGCTCAAAGGAGACTTTAGTTGGATCAACTTTCTACCTTCAATGGCAGCTTCCGCATCCAGCCGACTGTCCTGTGGGGACACAGGAGCCAGAGGGAGAAGAGGACCAAGAAAAAGCTTTGACCCCTGAGGAGAAACGGGTCCTGGAAAGGAAGATGAAGAAAATCCTGAAAAAGGAAGAGAAGAAGAGGCTGAAAGCAGAAGGACAGACCAAGCCGAAAACTCCAGAACCTAGTCAGAGTGCATGGAAGCATTCCTTGGAGTACCTCGACTGGTAAGGACAGGTTGTTCAATACTGAAGAATATCAGAAGTAAGCTTAAAGAAAGTGCTATATTGATATGTATAGAACTTAATTCATTTATTAGGGGACTTTTAATGCAAGTTTTTCATTTGAGTATTGACTGATATTGACCCTACACTATAGAAATTAATCATACATACTTTTATTCCTCCTTTTTTAACGTGAGGTGTTAGAAAAACGAGTTCAGCGATATTACTCAGAGAATAAAATTATTGATTGATAATCAGCGTTAGAACAACAAACAAACTACCCATTATAATTAGGGCTGGGTAATTAATTGCAGTTGCAATATTATGGCAATTTAATAAAATGCAGTTTTCAAATTGCAGAGCAACTTGATATAGGTCCCATTTCATTTTATAAGACACTGAATTTGTAACACCAGTCGTTTAGGTGTCAGTGATTCACTGAAAGTGGGTTTGAAGCCACACGAACAGGCAGAGGGCAGAGAAGTAAGATTTTTCTGTGATTACAGTAAAGTCATGAAACAAGGGACTATGGACAAGTAAGAAACCCTGGAATGAAACATCTGAAAGCTTGTGATTAGGTTAAAACGAAAATCTAAATAAAATCAGTTTCAATATTGGTTAAAAGATAATTACAATTTAGATTTTCCAAAATAGTTCACCCCTAAGGCCGATATATTTGGATACTCATTTTTCTTTAGCTGATATCTGACAGATTTCTGATACCAATATTGGACCTGGGAATCCTTATATTTCTTTATAGGTGGTGAACTGCTGTATTGGTGCCCATTAATATCCTGTACAGCGCTGCAGGTTTGTTCATTTCACATGCTGAATTTATAAAACTACGGTAATTAAAATTTCCAAACGCGTATCGATACCCAGGGAGATAGTCAGTTTCTCAATACCATTTTTAAATACCATGGGGATAAAAAAGTAAAATAAAGGAATAAAAAATAGACTCCCCTTTTTAATCTCAACATTAAAGATTCTATTAAATAACTTTTGCAGATTTAGATATATAAATAAATTAATACCCCAAATATGACAATTTTACTATATGTTAACGTTGCTTAAGATATTATTCTTTTAATGTGAAAATAATCCAGTAATGTAGAATTAACAGCAAAAATATGCAAACAAGACCTTTATATGGTACTGATAACACAGCAAATCAGTATTATATCCAGATGCAGCATTTGGGTATTACGGTAATACTTTTTAGAGAATCTTTGATTTTTATAATATAATACAGAATTACAGGCTCAATGCAGCATTCTGCAGGATAAGTCTAAATCCAGCTGCCTGCAGCATTTATTCAGTCTAAAAAATATGTATATGTAAAATAGGTATGAGATGGGACAAAACCCAGGAAGCTCCTCTGACCAGAGGAATTCTTCCACATCTTCGCCTTCATGGTGCATTTAAGTATGTCAGGTTTACTGGATTGTCTATATATTTAAGCACAAGTTTGCTTGGCTTTTAAACTTTTTAATCATGCAGTGGCTATTCATTTTGATCCTTTCTTGATGCTACAAAAACAAACAAGTCTGAAGTCACATCCATACCAGCTATTTTTTCCTTTTCTTGAATGAAACAAATGGAAAACATTCATCCCTCCATGTAAATCGGATTTGTTTGTCTTATAACACTGTACACAGCATTGTCATGTGTGCCATGAATCAGAGAGATGCAAGTAAGCTGAATAAAGTTATACTTCAGACAAATTTGGTAGAAATAAAAGACCAAATACGCTTCTCCAGGCTTGTTTCATTCACTTTAATGTGCAACTTGTGCAATTTTTTTAATTGTTTGTTCATAATGTAATGTAATTTCTTTATGTGAGGATCCCAGGAAGATTAGTGGCCATTTATTTGGCAGCTAATGGGGATCCTAATAAAACTAAACTAAACTTAACACAAACTCTGATTTTACTTCTGGTTCTGCTATGCTGAAAACTACTCTGCCCTCCTGACTTTATTGCGTTTAATGTATAATCCTTATGTTTTGATTACCTAAGTTTATTTATACAGTCCAGTGATTGATCCAATGTCTGCATATCCTATTATATAAATGCATGTACATACATTAGTAAAGCAAGATCTAATTTAGCCATCTTTAGTCAATAGTTTTGTAAATCCAGATTCTGTGGTTGTTTAGTTTCCTAATGGCACAATGTGATCTATTAGTCTAGTTTTTGCATCAGGCATAAATATGAATATGGTCCAATATGAAACAGGAAATATCAGAAAAGTGTCCTAGAAAGACATTAGAATCACTTTATTCACATTCCAGAATATTCTGCACCCCGTGCCACCTGAGATTCTCGGAGTTGCATGCCCACTCTCACAACCCACTCTGTTTTTTGTCATTGCAGTTGGTTAAAGAAACGTTCAGCGTGGAAGTTCCAGAAGAACAGGCAGACGTGGTTACTGCAAAACATGTACGACTCTGAAAAGGTGAAAAGAAATAATATTGGGTCTAGATTTTCTTAAAATCGGAACATTGGTGGCGTCGGCCTCATAAGGACGGCTGCAGTTCTTCAGTCAGCCTGGATTAGGTCAGCCTTTATGGTTCTGGTGTGGTGGATGTCACAAAGTTCATTCAAGGAAATGCCAGCAGCTTTACTACAGATATGTACCAAACCTGGCAGGGGATTCATCTTGTTAACTATAAATGTTAAAAACAGATTTTATTAACCCATTTACACTACCCTTGAAAAACCGATCCATGCCGAGACCGGTCCGAGCTCGGATCAGTTAACCAGGCCGAGCTCGGTTCTGACGACCGTTTACACATCACGCTATCTCGGTTCCTCGCCTCCTAATGACGACCTGCGGTATTACTGCCAGTATTGAAGGAGGAAATCAAGCAGTTGGTGGCGGCAATGCACCAAAAGTTGTTTGCCAACCGCCATGAAACACAAGAAGAAGACGAAGACGAAGAAGGAGGGAATCTAGCAAATCAAAATGGCCCAAATTGCAATAACCGCCTCAGTCTGGGCATCATCCCAGGTCGCACCACGCTCTTTTGAAGCCATTATTTAAAATGTTGCGTGGAGAAGATTTTGATTGTTGTGTATAGTTGTTCTTCTTCTGTTTCGTTTTGGTTGGCAAGCAACTTCCGGAGGAGCATTACCGGCAACTACTGGAATGGAGTGTGAATCGGGATGTGCAGCCAGACGGAGATGACGCGTTCCGCTCATGCGCTCTTTATATCAGAGAACCGAGCCAGGGAAAAACCGAGCCGAGCCCACCTCTGCAACTGGTCTGCAGTTAGCTTGGTTCGGTTGTGTCTAGCTCGGTTCAATTCAGTTTGCTTTCCATTTACACACGATAAATTATCTCAGTTGCTGAGCTCGGACCGGTCTCGGCATGGTTTTTCAAGGATAGTGTAAATGGGGTAGATGAATCTTCTTAAAAGAACAGATATTAACACCTCAGTAATGGGGAAAACACTGATGTTATCACTAACCACACACTGGTATTTATACTGTGGCACCACCTCAACAGTTTGATCATCTTTAGTTGCAGAAGAGATTTTTAAATCTATTTTTCTAAACATTTATCTTTGTTTAATTGTTGTTTAATTGAAGCCATTTGTAAATGGATCAAATAAAGGCGGGAAAAGACACAAAGAACACAAAGGGAAAAATTACTCTGACCTGTTCAACCAGGAAATAAAACCGATATCAATGTTGACTTTAGTTACTGTGCTTAAAGGTATTGTTAGACGTCATTTTTTTCCAAGTTAATAAAAGTATTCTAATCAGGGACTTGGCTATGTCATGTAGTACCTGCTTTATGATCCTATTTAGTACAGATATTTATCCTTAAGCTCCCTCTGAAATATTTTAATATATTAGATTTTTTTGCTCATAAAAAGTGTTGTAAATAGTTTTCTTTTTTTAACTTAAAGGGGGTTTTGGTGCATATAAACTAACCAAGATGGTAAAATAACTTAGTTATTCTGTTTCCTTAGATCCCAGACAATGTGTTTTCAGTTCTGCTTCAGTACCTGGAGGGGCTGTGTGGAACAGCGAAGGATATAACGGTCCAGAAGGCCTTAAAGCTGGTGGAAGAATCTGGAGATGCACCAAACGATGCAGTTGTCCAGCAGAGAGCGCAGAGAGCCAGAGAAGTGATCCAGCTTTTATCCTGACCCTTGGGAACCACTGGAATGGATGAGATAACACAGGAAGACACTGAAAGAAGGGCCGGGTCTCCTGCCTGGAACTGCTGCTCTCTGGAAATAATTCATTTAAAGGCTCACATGTCTGTCTGTGCTACTACAGTCTATAAAGACCAATATTTTCCTAAATGTTTTTACCTTCATATGGTTCTTTGATCATTTTCTGAAAACAATAATATAGTTTTCCGGTGTTGAATGTCTTCAATAAGATGGAGATGAAATCTTCGGAGGGGGGTGGAACGCTAAGAAACTAGTGGAGGTAAAAGTAGTCAGGAATGCTTATGGTTGAGACATGTTGATGCAAGTCAGACGTGTATTCAGTCCAGTCCAGCTGATGACTCTTCCTGACACGGGAGAAAATATTCTGTGAAACCAACTCAGACCCTCAGCCTACATGATGTTCACACAGCCTCATTATGTAGAGTTTCATCTGTTCAATGATGCAGATCCACATTTTAGATCAAATGTTTACACAAACTTATCGACAGGCTGGAACGCTTAATTTTAAATAATTTATTAGAGATGCTTTAGCTTTTCTTTGTCTTTTTAAAAAAGGTCTGGTGTTACTTTTTTGGGGAAATTGAAATTTTCTCCAATCCGTAAAAGTTCAGCAATATACATTTAGGCTCTCAGTCCATGTAGATGTTTCTCTCAGCTGCAGACAGTTACTCTGGAGCTAAGTGTTCTTATTTTCTAAAGGTGATAGAAACATTTGACTAAAATGTTGGATCTGCTGCATAAAAGTGAGTTTGTACTACGGCCTGAATGACACCAGGGTTTTCCCGAGAGCTGAAACCAAAATGCATCTTTTCTCTAACACACGTGGATCTTGAAGAGTTGGCTAAAAATGGTCAGGAGATTTGTGCTTCCTTTTGCTCACTGCATGGTTTAGATCAGTCCTCCAGAGCCGTCCTCCATGTTTGGACATTTTTACTGCTCCAAATTCAAATAAATGCTGATTTTCTGCAGATCTTGATATGCTGCAGTTTAGCCTTTTATCTAACCTCTGGGCATAGATGAATCTAAACATGCAGGACACTGGATATTGGGACACTGATGTTGACAAATCCTGGGTTAGAAGTTTCCCTTTAGCCACATCCCCAATTTACATGCTTATGTTGAACATGAATTAATTTAAATTATGCTTGTGACAAAATTTAAAAACATCCAAACTAGGTAAGAGCTGTTCAAGGGACTTAGTTTTGAACAAGAAAATATCCTCATTGAAAAGAAGATTCAGACTAAAAGGAAAAATTTTATCCAATGAGCTGTGAAATGTTTGTGGACTCAGATTAAAACATGTGGAGCAAACTAATCTTGTCTGCTTTTCTCATTTGGGATGGCCTCGGTTCTCAACAGGTATTTTAAAGCGACGCCAACTGCTTACATCTCCAGCTTTATGTTTTATCTTAATCTTTTCATCTGTCTGAAGTCAACCAGTTTCTTTTCATTTGTGTGCTGGAAGAAAAAAAATTACACATCCTCTTTGTTGTTGCAGCACAAGAGATTCACCTTGAGGTTTCTCATCGCAACACCTCCAAATCTACAGTAGACAATGACATTTTTTTTTTAGATAGTGTGAAGACACAAATCGGTCAAAGAGAGGTGACTTTAAGGATGGAGGTATGTGGGTTGTCACCTCCTGGGAGAATCGGCTTTAATGGTGAAGGTTCAGTGTACAAACAAGAAAGTTAACGGATTTCATTCACTCAGTGTGAAGACGTTCAAACCTGGAGAAAATTTGTGCACCCATATATTATTTTTTTTCATTAGAACCAAGGAGAAAAACTTAGCTCTACTGGCTTGTCGTTTTTATATAAATATTGCTTTGTAAAGCTGCCTGTTCTGCATTTTTTCTGACTCTAAACCCGTGCAAGTTCAGGATGTCACAGTTTAACAGAAATCCAACACAATTTCCAAAGTTTTATTTTTAAATAAACCCTTACATTTCCATATTTGCATTTGTTTATTACCAGACAGAACATTAAACAAGCTGACAGTTCTTCTGAAGATGTCCACCTTTCAGTTTAGAGAACCTTTTTTTTTTTTATTTGCAGCCTCTCTTAAGGTTCTTTCTAACCAAACCCTATCTAAACCATTACATCATGTTAAATAAATGTTTAAAAAAAATTGGTAGTGCAATTCAGGCTGCATCTTTTATTTCCAATGTCTCAGTAAAAAATGATACAGAATCAGTTTTGGCAAAGTCTCAGAGTAGGAACACAACTTCAAACCTAAATCAGCTTTAAAATGTATCCCTTTCCCATCACATCTGAACCAAGTAATGTTTCATCAATGGGCCTCTGTAGAGCTGGATGATTGAATGTTGATGAGGGGAATTTAACTATTTGAATAGCGTGTTGGAGAAGGCCCGCATGCAAATGATAAAGGACAATATATCAAGGATTAGAGCAAACACTCCCACTTTAAAGTGAGGAATCGTCTTTTCTTTTTTCTATATGCGTGGATATTACAGGGGGGAGTGTCAAGATATGAACCTCACTAAAACTGCAATGGATCTTCCATTTCCTATAAAAATGTCTACAGAGGGGAAGTTTAATAGAGCAGTATGTACTTCAACCTCAAAAGCTTGGTCAAGTTTTTTCTACTATAGTCAGAGGGGGTAATAATGCCTAATTGGTGGCAACAAGAAGGTCTTATATTTGAATCCCAATCTGCGATTCTTTCAGCTAGATTTTCTCCAATCTCTGTGTGCACGCCTGGGTACTATTATCTTCCTCTCCCACTCCAAGTTAATACTGTGTATCTCTGTGACGAACTGGTGAAATGTCCAGCGTGTCAAACTCCCCCAGTGACTGCTGGCTGCTTGGTGAAGTAGTGTATCAATAATATATGCCGAAACAGGTTCAGTCATATTCAGAATAACAGCTATTAAAACATGGCATTGTTACAGTTTTCCATCTTATGCCTGCAGGATGTTTTAGTTTCCAGTGATGCTGCCTCCATAAAACATCGGAAAAGCTTGCAGGGGTTGTGGAGATACTGGGAAGGTAACAGTCCAAACTTTACCCTAAAAGTCTGATGCAGTGTTGCCCAAGAGAATTAATCCACATTTTACTGGTGTGAACCTCGTTTCAAACAGACCAGAAAGACATTAAATCCCCTCAGGTCCTTTAAAATAAGCAGCCTGCCGCTCCTGGTGATCTTCACAGTAGATCGAAGATACCCGTGTCTCCTCTCAGGTGTTGGTCTTTAGCTGGCACAGTCACTGCACCCTTTTGTTCATCTGTCATATAAAATAAAATAAAAAAAAATTCATGCTATAGAGACAGTTTAAACATATATGGCGAGGCTGGTTTTAGGCTCACTTACTTGGCTGTGACTCAAAAGAAATATTATTCTGAGTGAGGAGAGCACGCAGTCTTGCTATCTCTTCACTCTGTTTTTGATAATCCTAGAACAAAATACATACAAATAAATATCAACCATATGTTTCAAGAAACACTCGCCTACCATGCGTAATCGTTGATGAACTTACTTCTTGGCATTTCTGTAAAGAGTTTGGCTTTCCTGAATCTACTTCTGCCTGTGGTACAGTCTCTGTCACTTTGTTGCTCTTCAAGAGTCCAGCATCCTGAAAAATATCTCTCAGGAGATTGTTGTAGCCCTGTAGTGCACATAAGATTAACATGATTAGCTAGCAATTTCATAGTTTTAAATCCTCTAATGTCCGAGGCATTAGTAGAGCTATGAATGCACTTTTGATGTTTTTAGCGACATTTAATGGTTTAATCTAAATCTACTTCCTACCTGCTCAGTGATAAGACCCTCATATCGGGCCTGCTCCGCTTCATCCCATTCTTCCTGCAGCTTCTCATTCAGAGTAGGGTACACTGTAAATAAAAAAACGCAGCCCCGATTACTGCCGACATTCACAGCATAAGAGGAGGCTTTTATTGCTGACCTACCTAACAGCGAATGAGGATGGCAAACGAGCGGCGTCTCGAAGGTCAGCGAGTAAACACAGGTGCTGGGCTCAGATACTTGCACCAGTTTGCTGCTGTTGCTGCAGAGCAAAATCACCTGAACGTAACAAGAAACAGAAGGTTTTTTTCCAAAATGAGTTGACTTGACACAAAACTATTTTAGTATTTATTTACTTAAAATGTGCATATTGCAATCTTTATTTTTTTTTATCCCTTAAGGCATATTTGATAAAATATATATACAGACACATAAATAAAAAATACCGTAATATCTCTGATGCACCTACTGGGTGTAGGCCTGTAAGATATTCTCACTAAGTGGTAAACTTAATTTGAATAAAAATTGTCATAAGATAATAATAATAATAATACATTTTATTTAACAGCGCCTTTCTGAACACTCAAGGTCACTTTACAAGAATTAAAAATAAATGAAAAGAAAGATGAAAATACAAATACAGGAACATAAATACAGTTATGGATAGGGAAAAGATATAAACCTAAAACAAGCTAAATTACAAAACAATCAAAGTTCCCCTTTAAAAAAAAAAAAAAAGGAAAAAAAAAAACAGTTCTTGTGTTTTTGAATAATTGTAATATTAAAGTCATCATTGCAGGTGTAACACTGATATCTGTATTTGTAGCAACAAATATTTTAGAAAATGGTGGAAAAAAACACTGTTGCCAACTGCGTGAAAATTCAGTAAGGGCTCGGCCATGCACTTCTTCTACCCCAACCACATTACGAATTCTTAACTTTACATGTTTGTGAACTGAATTTGCAAAAATTTGAATTGAACCTGGATTACATCAGACACCTAATACTGTTTCCTAATACAGGACAGTTCCCTTTTTAAATTGACAGTTGGCAACCCTACTGTCAACTCAAATTTCTATTTCTGTGTAAAGCGCCCACACAAAAATTAGTATGCCATGTGCTTCTGTTAGCTGGATACGCTAACAGCAGTTAGCACCTCAACAATTCTCAAATGATTTTGCATGGAATTCATTACCATGCCTGACATTTGACCTGATGCAGCATAATATCTGTAGAACTAAAGACTCTTAAAAACATAAAAATCAGCTTTCTGTTTTCTTTTGTTCTGTTTTCCATTTCATTTTTGTCTCATAATTATTGTTTTTACATTTATCTCAAATGCAGCTCATACATCTATGCTAATAAATGGTTGTTTTAAAGTAATGCACTCTTTAGAAAAATATATAGAAATCTAGATTTTTTTTATATTAATTAAATTAAAAATAAAATAGAGCTCCTGACTCCTGCTAAAATTACAAGTTGCCATAGAGGAAAAAAGGCATCTTTAAAGAACTCTTAAATTATCTCCAGAGATTGAATCAAGACAGGTTGAGCCACAAACTAGGGTTGTACTCTATATCAAGAAATTTAATTACAGCCCTTTTCTTGAAATATTATCCTTTGAAATGCTGTTTTTCTTTTTCTAAACTCGTTTCTATAGGTGTCAACATTAATGCTGATGAGTCAACCAATGAGGTAAGAAGATTTATCAGGAAACTAGTAATAATTTGCCTGAGAAAAAGAAAACTAATAAAGAGCAAGAAAAGGAACACAAACCTTTAAAAAAAAAAAAAATGTGTTTTTTCTTTTTTTTTTACCTTTGTCTCTCTGTTTCTGGTTCCACATGTGTCACCATCTCTCATCCACATGCCTGTGAAAGTGTTGTTGGCCATTTCCCACTCCTGCCAGATCCTATTTAACATAAAATCACCAACAGTAGACTTACAATTTCAATTTCACTAATTAAAAATCATGATTTTCTGAACTGACAAAATTAATTTGCTGTGTCTTACCCCAATATCCCACTGTAGGCGTTCCACCTAAATGACTGCTCATGCTGGGTAACATTGTGGAATGGACAGAATTCATATTTATACCTACAAAAGAACCAGTTACACAGGGATACTGATTGCTTTAAATGGTCAACCAAATGGGAAATGGATGAGTCAGATTCCATCATGTGCATCTTCAGAACACTGTATACTCACAAGGACTCTATGAGGCTGAAGCACTTTCCAGCAAGACGATGAAGATGGGCCGGGCCTTAAGGAGAATGTTACTATGGTTACCAAAGAGACAGTTGAATTTTATTCTGTCCAGATAATTATTTTTTCTTTACTGACATAAAAAACAACTGAGTACAATCACTAAATTGTTCATGAGCAGTGTTCTCA